AGACAGCCCGGGAAGGTGCCGGACTCGTAGTGGCCAGTGGAGTGATCTACTGTCTAGGTATTGAGTCTGCGATGCAGGAATGGGAGAGAACTCAATGGGTAGTAGATTGTGGGTAAGGGTTCCTTTTTAGCAGAATGAAGTCCATAGACTTCCCTTCAACTAAAACCCTGGTGTGTCAATGTATTTTCCATTAATTGGGATTATCATTTTCTTATAAGCAGAAAGTAGGGTACTATCAGAGCTCTTGGGACTCTAGTGGGAAAATTTAAACTAAAATAATTAGTTGAAGCACTCGGAGAAAGGCTGTCCAGGAATAGGCATGAGGATTTACCACTCATCCTGCAGTGGTCTCTGTCTTCCAGGAGGTTATGATGGCTTGAATATCTTAAATTCAGTTGAAAAATACGACCCTCATACAGGACATTGGACTACTGTTACACCGATGGCCACCAAGCGTTCTGGTAAGATCAAATCTGAGGGAGGAGACAATAGGCAGTGCTGTCAGACCTTTACATATATAATAGTGATGCAAGGGACAAACTGTAGATTAATGTAAAAATGAGATTCTGGGAAAAAAAAAAAATGAGATTCTGCTCCTCCTTGTCTCTGTTTTCTCTAAATGTTAGAATAAAGACAGTTTATACTTACAACTAGATTATAAATTTGAAAGCAAAAGCCTTCATGTTTTTGTTTTCTCCCTGTGTTTTAGAATACTACAATTTTGTCTGTGTAGCACATGTTAAATAAATGTTTGTTAAATAACGTTTCTAATGTATAAGAACAAAGGAGCAGCACCTTACCTTCACGAGAGCTTTTTGAAGCGGAGCAGGCTGAGATGTAGAAAAGGAAAACACTGTGCTGTTCTAGTTTACGTATTCTGAGTAAAAATTGCTTCAGAACCATAATCACAGTTCCTTTCCCTCCATCTACCTTTATTGCTGCCTTTTCTTCACTTCCTCCTTTTCTGAGAAGGGTGGGGCTCTGAGTTAATGAGAGTAAAGAAGAGAACCATTTCTATTTATCTTTTATCATTTCAAATCCAAGCCAAAGGGTTTATAGATGGAATGATTTGTGCTGGACTAGATTATTCTAGGCCTGTCTAGGTCTAGTCCATGCCTCTCACCTACTCTAGAACTCAGCCATTAGTGACCATAGTTTATTTCTGTAACTCAGATTCTAGGCTTAGTACCATTCATTTGCTAATGCCTTCATTTTCCCCAGGTGCAGGAGTAGCCCTGCTGAATGACCATATTTATGTGGTGGGGGGATTTGATGGTACAGCCCACCTTTCTTCCGTTGAAGCATACAACATTCGCACTGATTCCTGGACAACTGTCACCAGTATGACCACTCCACGATGCTATGTAGGGGCCACAGTGCTTCGGGGGAGACTCTATGCAATTGCAGGGTGAGGATTTAAACAACTCCAGACTCAGTATGTAACCAGAGCAAGATTCTATGTGATCTGATCCTTATTTTTGAATGGAGACAAGATTTGGGTAGGGGTAGACATCTCTAGTGGCAACTTGATTGTTTTTAATTAGATTTTTTTTTTATTTTTTAGAGACAGTGTCTTTCTCTGTCACCCAGGCTGGAGTCTGAGTAGCTGGGACCACAGGTGCATGCCACTGTACCAGGATAGTTTTTTATGTTGTCTAGGCTGGTCTCCAACTCCTGGGCTCAAGCAATCCTCCCACCTCAGCCTCCCAAAGTGCTAGGATTACAGGCGTGAGTCACCATGCTGGCCTCCAGTGGCGGCCTTAAGGAAGAACTTGTGTAGAAAGGAATAGAAGGCTAATTTATTTCTTTAAATTTAATTGAGACAGACAGGGTCTTACCATTTTGCCCACGCTGGTCTCAAATTCCCTCCTAGGCTTAAGCAGTCCCCTTACCTCAGCCTCCTTCATAGTTGGGATTACAGGCACGTGTCACTGCACGCAGCTGACTCATTTTTTTCTTTTGCCTCTTTCCCACTCAGATATGATGGTAATTCCCTGCTAAGTAGTATTGAATGTTATGACCCTATCATCGACAGCTGGGAAGTCGTGACATCCATGGGAACCCAGCGCTGTGATGCTGGTGTGTGTGTTCTCCGTGAAAAGTGACCATTGTTGGAGCACCATCCAGAACTAGTGACCAGTCTGGTGGACAGTTAGTGGGAGAATCAAGAATCCTTTCCAAAATGTCTGTTTCTCAGTATGTGCATAGGGTGATTACAGGCACCAGTGCAATGATGATTGTACTTATTTGACACATATTCCGCCTTGTCCTGGTTATTGTTCCTGAGAAGGGTGGCCAACAGATACTCCAGGGAAAAGAATGCAGATTGAATGGATGTGAGAGACCAGATCGCCTCTCCCACTGCCTTGGGGAGCACTTTCCTGTCGTTTCTAACTTACCACATGCTCAGTGTACTATATGTATGTTGTGCCTCATATGTTGCAGAGAACGAAGGTGAGTATAGCCTACTACATGTGGGTAATATCCAGCCTAGATGATTGGAAAGGTACCAGTTTAAGTAAACCTGGTAAAATCCAAGTCTTTTTTTTTTTTTCCCAAGAAAAGATACCTTTTCTAATCTACAGGTAGCTAGAGGCAACACAGTTCCATTCTAGAGGAAAACAGAAGGGAGAGCCCCATAAAACTTTGGGGACAAGGGAGAGAGACTCATCTGACACTTCTTGTCAGGGATAGGGTTGGTATATCAGAATTGAAGTTAGAATAAGTGAATCAACTGAATTTGATGGAATGTGAGTGAACCTAGAACAGCACTGAAGTATTACATAACCTGGAAGACTGAGAAGGGTATATCATTTGAAGGATCTTTTTATTTCCCCAAGGTCTTTCTAAAGTAGAATGTTATGCATTTTAGCACTGGAGATAACAGTGAACAAATGTTGGGATGAGACAAGATGGCATCAATGTAGGAGTTCAGTATAACTGGGGATAAACTAGAAGTACCTGTGATTCTACAGTCTTATATTCCCTGCCAGGGCTCATCTAGCCATGGCAATGTTTGCCTTGAATGGGGGTGAAAGCCTTTCTTTGTTGAATCAAATACTACTACACTGTTACACTTCCACACTATTTATTTGGGGATGGGCTGGGAGTGACAGTAGCCCAGTAGTTCAGCTACCTGATTACTGCCCATTCTTTTAGGAGTACACTTCTGCCAAGGAGTGGTTTGTACTGCTGTGTTTGGTACATTTAGTCTTTTTTCTGCTATAAGTTTCCCTTATCTGTCCTTTAGTGTAGATTTTATTCATCACAGGACAGAATAATCAAGGACAACCAAAATCCTTTTGTCAGTTTCAGTACCTCAGCTATCAACGTTTCTGAGCTATTATTCAATGTTGTCTACGTCATGGAGTGAAATTCTTGTTTTATGGGTATTGGGAGTGTGGGAATGTGATAACCTAAACAACCTTTGCTCTGAAATTCCATTTTTCCCTTTTTCCCTGAATCGTATTGACCTACAGAGTTAATTTCCTTTGTATTTTTTTAAGAAAATATTAAAAATCAACGGTCTCAAATGCTGAGAGTTTGTGGCTAACCAGCATTGCCTTTAGCAGATACTTGGGAGGGAAAGATGTAGGGATCAGCTGTAACTCCTGTGTCTTCAGCCTGTTCAACTTGTGTGTTTGCAAACTAGTTGTGCTATTTCTCTGTTATACACAGGTAAGAGGCAGCCACTTTACACTATGGAGATTCTCATCAGTAAAATATTTACCTAATTTGCCATATTCATTAGCCCCTCTCATGCTTGGAGTTACTTGAAAACCAAAGGAGTAAAGAAGAGACGTCTTGAATTCACTTAGCACTCGCTTGAATTTTAGGGTTTCAGTCATGCCAGGCCTTTTTTCCATTTGCTTTGAATTATGGCATGTGATATTAACAGCTATGCAGAAGGCCTGCAAAACTGCAACAATCCTGATGCTTCCAGAGCAAAAGGAAGGAGAAGCCACAGGAGGAAGTTATTTCCCCTAAAGATGCCTGCCAACTTTGGCAGATGGATTGCGCCTGCTAATTAAACCACAGCCTATAAAACGTGGCTCTTCCTATCTCAAGAAGAGATCCAGGAGAGGCTGAAGGACTGATGGCGCCTATGCTGTCTTCAGTGCTGACAAATTAGTTTCAGACCAATTTCACAAATAGTTCATACACTGCAGCCACTGAATCTTATACAGAAAAATCAACACGTAAAACTTAATAGCTCCTTTTTCACTCTTTTCACAATCATACACACTTTCATGTGCTCACATACATACACAGAGATACCCCTAATTTGGTGGGTTATCTTAATTTTTTTTTTGAGACGGAGTCTTGTTCTGTAACCAGGCTGGAGTGCAGTGGTGTGATCTTGGCTCACTGCAACCTCTGCCTCCCAGGTACAAGCGATTCTCCTGCCTCAGCCTCCCAAGTAGCTAGGACTACAGGTGCGCATCAGCACACCTGGCTAATTTTTTGTACTTTTAGTAGAAATGGAGTTTCACTATGTTGGCCTGGATGGTCTCAATCTCTTGACCTCATGATCCACCCTCCTCGGCCTCCCAAAGTGTTGGGATTACCGGTATGAGGCACCTTGCTCGGCCAACATCTTAATGTTTTTAAGCTTCCACCACTGGCAACCAGCTACTTGGTTATCTAACCTAGGAAAACTAGCAGTTGCTTTGTGTCACCCCCATCACAATACAGACATCCAGCTAGTTTCTAAGTTCTATACAATTTTAATTGTTCCAAGTCCATTCCCCTATCTTCATTCCCTCTGCTAGCTTCAGGACCTTTCTCAGCTACACCCTAAGGTTAACAGCCACTTGATATCCCTACCTCTATTTCTCTCTTCAATCTAGCCTCTCCATTTAGTCATAGGTTATCTTTCTAAAGCACGGAAGTACTTAACATACAGCAGACAGTAAATAATGAAGTTATTTCTGGCCTAAAACTCCACAGATTCCCATTGTTCATATTATAAATGTAAAAGTCCTTAGCATGACATTAGATCCATGGAGCTCTGGGCCCACTGTACCTTCCTGATTTTACCTAACTCTGTTATCACTTCTCCCCAGGTTTGTGGGTCAGCCACAGCGGTCTACTAACCATTCCTAAATTTGTTCTCACCCTTGTTCATATACAATACTGTTCTGTCTGAAATAACCTTGCTTTCCCGACAATCCTAGTTAAGAGCAGTGGCTTTAGAGTTGTGCTGCAACCTTTCTGATCTTTACCTTTCTCATTTTGTGCACAAGAGTGCCGACCCCATAAGGAAACTGTGATGATTCAACACGTTTCTAAAGGCGCTTTGACATATTTTGCCGCATAGTAAATGGTCACAATGATTAGAAGCGGCCAATTACAGCTTCCACACATCTTTTTTCCAGTACCAAAAAGATACCTGCCCCTCTAAGTAGTTTCCTATAGAAGAAGCTAATGTGGCTAAAATTTGAGGGGATGTCCGACCCAGATTCCCTTCACATTGCCCCTAATAAAGTCCCCATTCATTCAGGACACTAAATTCAGATCTCAGAAAACTAAACAGTAAGGTCAACGTAATGATTTATTTGTTTAGGTCTTACTATTAAGCACAGTGACCAGGTGGGTAAGGAGATGTGTCACTGGTCCCGAGAAGTGTCCCTGTCACAAAGCCTGTCGACACCTAGCCACTCAGGTTAGGCAATGAATGAAGGCGCCTGCGCAGTAGAGTCCAGAGAGGGGAAGCGGGCGCCTGCGCACAGAAGTAGTGACCGTCCGCTCCCCGCTCCCGCCTCTGCCAAGCCGCGCCAGCGCAGTGAGGATCAACCCAGCAAAGACAGCGCCTGCGCGCCCGTGGCTGAGGAGCCTGTGGCGGCAGCGGCGATGGAACCGGCAGAGCAGCTGAGCGAGTTAGTGTCAGCCGAGGGCCGAAACCGGAAGGCGGTGCTGTGCCAGCGTTGCGGCTCCCGGGTGCTGCAGCCAGGGACCGCTCTCTTCTCCCGCCGACAGGTAGGGAGGCAGGTTGGAGGGCGTTTACACCCACAGTCTCCCAGACGAGCCGCCGCGCTCGGAATCTGAACCCCAGCTCCTGAATTTCCGGAGACCGCGCCCTCCTCGCGCGGCCTTAAGCCCCGCCCCTCGGGCCTCCGCTCTGCGAGGCTCCGCCCCTGGGGCCACCGGCAGCGAGGGAGAGAACCGGATCCCGCCGCGGGGTCTTTTGCTGCGCAATCCGTCCCTGGGCTACCCGGTCCTGCCTGCCCGGCCCTCCGCCCCCGGCGCCGCCGCCAGCGCGGGCCCTGCGCCCTGCCGCGGTCCAGGGCCGTTGCTTCGCGGGCGCGTAGAAGGGAGGCGCCCCATTCCGGCTCCCGGAGCTCCCGCCAGCCTGCAGGACCTGGCAGGTGCCTCTCGGCCGCCGCTCACCGCGGATGTGGCGGGGTTCCCGTCCTACTCCAGACCCCACCCGCCAGTCCTGAATTCTCCGTCTCGTTTATGGCAGTCACCTGTCTGTTTCACGAAGGAGCCCCAGAAACAACTGGTGTAGGGGACGCGGCAACATAACCCCGCTAACCTGCATACCGAGGAAGTTAACGTTTTCCAGATGAATCGTATTTCAAATGCAATAGATACCTGACGTCCTGAAGTAAATTTTAAAGAAAAGCAATTTTTTTTCCCTTGAGTTTAGGGATTTTAATACCCTTCCTACCACATGACCCCAAGTGAAAAAGTTGAAAAAAAAATTATTTCGGTCAACTCTGTATTGAAGTGCAAGTATAATGTCATTTCAACCATAGGGACGTCCTGTCATTCAAAATTATTTCTAAAAATATGCAGATCATTTTATAATTTCACGTGGTGGAACAGATCGTGGAGTGTAATGTCTAGTAGAAGAGCAAGAATCCCCCATACCTCCAAAACAACCTTTCATCAAAGGAGGAAAAAAGGAATCTGTGTATGTTGTTTTGTAGGTATATTGATGAATTTTGATCTAGATATTGGTGGAGCTCCCAGCGTTCTTTTAAGACTTCCAAGGTTTGGGAGTAGAGTTGTCGATTGATTTTACGAAGTTAGTGGCATTATGGAGTCAGTGGAAAGAACATGGATCTTGGAATTAAAATATACGTGGAATTAAATCCTGACTTTATCATTCATTAACACTGAAAGAGTTATTTAGGCCGGGCGTGGTGGCTCATGCCTGTAATCCCAGCACTTTGGGAGACCAAGGCTGGTGGATCACCTGAGGTCAGGAGTTCGAGACCAGCTTGGCCAACATGGTGAAACCCTGTCTCTACTTAAAAAAAAAAAAAAAATACAAAAATTAGCTGGGCATGGTGGCACTCATCTGCAATCCCAGCTACTCTGGAGGCTGAGGCAGGAGAATCGCTTGAACCTGGGAGACGCAGGTTGCAGTGAGCTGAGATTGCATCACTACACTCCAGCCTGGGCAACAGTGAGACTGTCTCGAATTTGAAAAAAAACCAAAAAAGTAAAAAATAAAAAAAAAATAAAGTTATTTAAACTCCATAAGATGCAGGATGCTGTTGTGTAATACAGGGGTGTCCAGTCTTTTGGTTTTGCTGGGCCACATTGGAAGGAGAATTGTCTTGGGCCATACAACATACACTAACAGTAGCTGATGAGCTAAAAAGAAAAAAAAAAAAAAGGCAAAAAAAAAAAAAATCTCATAATGTTTTAAGACAGTTTCCGAATTTGTTTTGGGCCTCATTCAAAGCCGTTCTGAGCCATATGCAGGCTGCAGGTTGGACAAGCTTGGAAGCTTGGTGTAAAATGATGATGATGATAGAGGGAAGAATTTGTATGAAAGCACTTGGCACTGTGCCTAGTATGTAGCCCATTATATAGGTTAGTTCCCATACTCCTTTTCCATGGCAAGGTTCTAAATTTTTATTTATTTATTTATTTTTGAGATGGAGTCTTGATCTGTCACCCAGGCTAGAGTGCAGTGGCACAATCTCAGCTCACTATAACCTATGCCTCCTGGGTTCAAGCCACTCTTCTGCCTCAGCCTCCCTAGTAACTGGGATTACCACCATGTCCAGCTAATTTTTGTATTTTTAGTAGAGACGGGTTTTCACCATGTTGGCCAGGCTGGTCTCAAACTCCTAACCTCATGATCCGCATGCCTTGGCCTCCCAAAGTGCTAGAATTATAGGCATGAGCCACAGCGCCCAGCCTGGTTTTGTCTAATTTTATAAACTGACATAAATTAAGAGACTTCTTAATGGAGTTTATATATTTTTTTTAATTCTTAATTTTTTTTCATAGTTATTGATTTTATTCATTTATTTTTTGAGACATCTCCCCCTGTTGCCAGGCCAGAGTGCAGTGGCATGATCTCGGCTCACGGCAACCTCCATGTCTTGGGTTCAATCGATTCACCTGCCTCAGCCTTCCAAGTAGCTGGGACTACAGGCACGTGCCACCATGCCTGGCTAATTTTTGTGTTTTTAGTAGAGATGGGGTTTCTCCATGTTAGTCAGGATGGTCTCGATTTCTTGACCTCGTGATCCACCCGCCTCAGCCTCCCAAAGGGCTGGGATTACAGGCATGAGCCACCGCGCCCAGCCTATTTTATTTTTATTTTTATATTTTGAGATGGTGTTTCGCTCATGTTGCCCAGGCTGGAGTGCAATGTCAGGAGTTCAAGACTGGCCTGGCCAACGTGGTGAAATCCTGTCTCTACTAAAAATACAAAAATTATCTGGGTGTGTTGGTGGGCACCTGTAATCCCAGCTACTTGGAAGGCTGAAGCACAAGAATCGCTTGAAGCTGGGAGGCGGAGGTTGCAGTGAGCCAAGATCACCAAGTGCACCACTGCACTCCAGCCTGGGTGACAGCAAGATTCTGTCTCAAAACAAAACAAAACAACAACAGAAAAAAACAGAGAGAGATGAGCTCCCTGTATTGCCCCTGGTCTCAAACTCCTGGGCCCAGGTGATCCATCCACCTTGGGCTCCCAAAGTGGTGGGATTACAGGTGTGAGCCACTGTGCCTGGCCAGGATCTTTTTTTACCTTCCCTTCCTTTCCCATTCCTCTCTCCTTCCTTCTTTCTTTCCGTCTTCCCTCCTCCCTCCCTCCCTGTTTTGCTGTCACCTGACTTGAGTATGTGACACAAGCATGGCTCACTGCAGCCTCCAATCAGCCAAAATTATTAATTCTTGTTTGATACTTTTTTAAACTGATTTTGCAAAAAATTGTGTGGGCAAAATAAATTATGTATGTTACATTTCTTTTTGTTTCTGAACTGACACAGTGGCTCCTATTTTCTAGAAAGAGGCCTAATAATTTTTTAATGCATTTTATGTGTTTAAAAATGTTTTCCCTCTTTTAAAAAGACAAAAAGGTTTTTTTGTTGTTTTTAACAATGGCTTCAACATTTCTGGAAATTTCCTATTTCCTGAGAACTGTTGGAAGAATCCGGTCCCCTTTCTGGACTCTAGTAACTCAGCTGTAGTCTAACCCAGTGTTCTGACTCCCATCCTGATTGTTTTCTCCTTTCTTTCCTCAAATACAAATTTCAGCAAAAATATAACCTCTAGGACATGATGTCAATAGAAGGTAAAAAAATTTCCTGGGAGATTCTAACAGTTATTAGTCCCTCCTCTGCTCTGTGTCACATATTTTAAGGTGGAGAAAAACAGTTCTATCCTTACAGAGAGCAAGGAGCTTCTGAGATGCCAAGCTCCTTAACTGAAGCTTTGGAGTAAACCCCCTAAAGTTTTAGGGTAGCTCTTTTTTGTCGTAACTGAAATATTGCAGATAAACCACCATTAGGGCAATTATAGCAGGGCTGTTACTCATCTTTGCAGGTGTTAAAGGAGCACTCCCAGCAGTTAAGCCTGGAGAAGGGTGTGTAAGGAGTCCTGGTTAGAGGTGGCCTGCAGCTTTCTCTCTCGCTCCCCCCAGTGGAAGAGAAGAGCCTAGTAGTCTGCAGACGGGAACAATCGGAGAGCTAGACTGCCAGTCCTACCTTGAGGTGATCCAGGGCCTGCCTCTTACTGTGTCTTATATTCCACAGCTCTTTAGTCTAAAGCAGCGTGTTTCTCGATTCCGTCCCCCACACCCAGATCTCCAAAAGACATTTAGCAATATCTGGAGACATTTTTAGTTGTCAGAATTAGGGAGGTGTGCTGCTGGCATCTAGTGGGTAGAAGCCAGGAATGCTTTTAATCATCTTTTTCTTTCTTTCTTTCTTTCTTTTTTTTTTTTTTTTTGAGATGGAGTCTTGCTGTGTTGCCAGGCTGGAGTGCGGTGGCACAATCTCTGTTCACTTAACCTCTGCCTCCCAGGTTCAAGCATTATAATGAGTAGCTGGGATTACAAGCATATGCCACCACACCCAGCTAATTTTTACATTTTTTAGTAGAGATGTGATTTCACCATGTTAGCCAGGCTGGTCTGGAACTCCTGACCTCAGGTGATCCACCCGCCTCCACCTTCCAGAGTGCTGGGATTACAGGCATGAGCCACTGTGCCCAGACCCTGTTAAGCATCTAATAATGCACAAGACAGCCCCCCAACAACAATGAATTCTGCAGCCCAGAATGTCAGTAGTGCCCAGGTTGAGAAACCTTGGCCCAAAGACTGCAAAATAGTCTCCCATCTATCATCTCAGTCAGCCTTAGGAAATGATTTGCAGGATTTGTTGTTTATACCACTAGACTATTAGGTCCTGTGTCTTGTCTGTTTCTGTGTCTCTTATGTCTAGTCTAGACTGTGCACGTGAGTGAGAACTGAGTAAATACTGGAGTTTAAATAACTAGTGAATAAAAGCTATGAGTCCAGTATACTAATTAGCATGGATACAGTAGAGCAGTATATTCAGTTGGCACCGTCACTCTGCTATTTGTGCAGCATGTAATTTGCGTTCTATTATTTTTACCTTTAAACTATGTTGGACTTGATGTGTTCTTTTTAAGTCATATAATTGGTTTCACATATGCAATGTTCATATCCTGGGGCCAGTTGCAGTGGCTCATGCCTGTAATCC